CTCATGGCAGGGAGGTTGGAACTAGATGATCTTTAAGGTCCCTTCCAACCCTTACCATTCTATGATTCTATGATCTATAAAAACATCCCATCTCCAGACTAGGTGGGGAAAACTGGGAATTTAGCACATATCAACAGCCACTTGAGCATGTCTATTTCTGGTTTGTCAGAGGTCAACTTCCAGCTTTTGGTTGCTGTTCTACTTTTTTCACTGAAAAAAAAAAAAAAATCAATCCACCTCTCCACTGCTTTTAATACCTTTCCTTAACCCAGACAAACTTAAGGTTTTTCAAAACAAGGCATTTTTCTCTCACCCTCAGATAATTTTTGGAGAGGCAAGTACCACAAATTTTCAGGTTGTTTGGTAGGTTCTTTTTTTTCATGCTGATTTCATACCCAAACCAATCACACTCTCACAACGTACACAGTTCTGTTTGCTGTTACTTTCCTGCTACATCCTTATTTATTCATTGAAGCACTTCATCAGTCTTTCTGCTAAAGTAGAAAATGGTACAGGTTATCCAAACCTGTATTTACAATGGAATCGTGTTGAATCCTTGAGGACAAAATAAGATAACTGTCTTTTTACAACCTGCAAACCAACCTGGTATCCGGTGGAAACACTCCACTACTTCACAAGCTATGCTTTACAGCCCCAAAGCAATAGGCGGTCATTAAACCTGATGAACTTCATTCAGCACCTCGGGGAATCTGATACCTTTAAGTGGTTGCTGAAGCTAGGAAGCTAATTTCACCAAACTTCTTCTTACAGTGTTGGAAAAAAGGCATAGAAAACAGGACCAACATCGTATGACAAGAGCTTAGAAGTAGGTCAGAGAGAACAAAAAGGCTCAGCCTGAGAAAGTCACAGGGAAGACAGAGGATGAGAGAGTGCACTTTATAGAATCAGAGTTTGAACTGTGGACCAAACATAGTTAAAGAAAGCTGACTTTGGGCACACAGACTCAAAAAAATCTAGGCTACCATTTCTTGCAACTCCACCTCTCACTCACTCCACCTCAGAAATATATAAAGTTTTCATCAGCTCTGTGATCACATGTATCCTGTAGGTGCGACATCACTAAGTTTGATCTAAGGGAAAAGGGTACAAACAAGCACGAAAGAGCATGTGCTTCTGTTCTGGCAATGGACCAAATTAAACCACATCAAGAAAGATCCAAATTAAACCAAACCAAAAAAAATGTTGCAGTGCAGTGAAGAAATTGAGACAAACATGTATAACATACACGCTTCCCATCTGTGTGGGCACATTACCTTTACAACTGTCATTAAGCAGCACTGCTTTCAAAACTAAATCAAAGTGCACATGTACTACCTCCTACCACTGTTTTAGCAGCAAAATTTGACCTGGCCTTGAAATGTATTAGGAATTGTCATACAATCATTTGCTGGTAAAAACCCCAAGAAAATTAAAAACCTAATACTGCTTTTGAAGTTAAGTTCTACTTTCTATGTCAGATGCTGAGTAAGTCTTCAACAGTATGGATTAACTAGTAGTTAACATATCTAAAATGCACGCAAAACCTGCACCTGGCCAGGCATGCCACAGATGACTTAACTGTGCACTCCGTCACAACTGTGTAGCCATACCTTTAAAGCTTTCCCTCGGGCTGTTTTTCTGCCTCTCTAAGAGGCATACAGTCCTTCATGTCAGCCAGCTGCCACTTGCTCATAGTTTGGAAACAATCACAGTTTCTATAGAAAATACATGCATATGTTATTTCAGCCAT